TTGGTGTCTTTTTCCCTAAAATTCCGACAGCCAGAGTTTCTGGCTTTCCTGGAGAATTGTTTCTCATAAAGTAAAATGTATGACCTAGAAGTCACACAGCAATATATGTCAAAGCTACTCAGCAGGAAATGAGGGGCCCTTTAGGGCTCAAACCCAAGTCCTGTGTAGATCTAAGAAACCACGCCCCTGTACAGGACCTCATCCCTTCCTCGCCAGACAGCAGGAGTTCTTAATGTGAATGTGAAGGCTCCACATTCCTTTTTTTTTTTTTTTTTTTTTTTTTTTTTTTTTTAGAGAGAGAGGGGAAGTTAGGGAGAGAAACATTAAAGTGTGGTTGCCTCTCATGTGCCCCCTACTGAGGACCTGGCCCACAACCCAGGCATGTGCCCTGGCTGGGAATTGAACCAGCAACCATTTGGTTCACAGGCCAGCGCTCAATCCACTGAGCCACACCAGCCAAGTGAGGGCTCCACATTCTTAAGGAGCCCATGGGTAGAATTCAGGGAGACCTATGAATTTGGATGGGAAAGAAATTACATCTTTATTTTTCAATATTCTCTCATTGAAAGTTAGCATTTCCTTTAATTATATATTGTAAGCAACTGACTACAATATTATAAGCAGTACCTATTATTTTGTTACCAATAAAAATTAGTTATTTTCATGTCACATTACATTGTTGGAGATATCTTAAAACACTATTTACAATCATCAAAATTAATTCAAAACTAGGGAGTTATGAGACCTGATGCTAGGTCACACTTGACTGCAATCTTCCTGCCTACGTACGAGCCCTCATGCGAGGTAGCTGGCCAACGATGAAGCAACTCCTCCCACTTATTGTTCAGCAACCAGTGAGACCTCATGTACTTACACCGGTGAACCAGACATCTACAATGCTCCCTTTCCTCCAACCTTCCCTAAGTCAAACAACTTAAATAAATATATACTGGGTTGAACTAACTGATGTTTCCACCTCTCAACTTTTGAATTAGGCAACCACTTTTTATCTCCCCAAGATCTGAAAAAAATTATGAGGGAAACTGAAAAGCCTCCCCCAGCTCTCCCAAGCACGGTTAGTCACTTGCTCCTCTGGGCTTCCTGCAGCCTTCTGTATGTATATACAATAACTCTTTTCACAACGTTTATCACAAAGTTTTGAGAGAATGTATAACACAGTGGCTAGGATGTAGGAGGAAGAATCAGACTGCCTGGGTTCAAATTCTGGCTCTACTTCCTAATATTGTATAACCTCAGGCGAGTTACTTAACTTCTCTATGATTCCATTTCCTTGCCTACAAAATGGGGCTAATGCCTAGAACACAGGATGACTGGGACAATAAAATGGACTAAAATGTTTGGAATAATGCCCATGACACAGTAAACACTAAAAAACGTTAGTTGCTATTATTACTGATGTTATTAATGTCTTACGGGGAACTGGCTTCTGCTCTAGCTGGGTCTCTATCCTGCCCCTATTCCCCATCTCAGCACTCTGTTTATGTTTTTTTTCCCAGCACTTATCACAAGATAATATATTTATTTCCTATATCCCCACTAGACTGTAAACTTCATGAGGGCAGAGAACTTGTCTTTTTGTTCATCCTTAAATTCTCAACACCAAACATATTGCTTGGCCCAGAGCAGGCACTCAAATATTTGTTGAATAAATAGCACAAGAATTGGCACTGTTCAATGTTTGCTAAACAAATTAACCAAGCTGAAGGTAATTGTCAAAGCTGAGACATGGGCACAGATGATGTCCTAGCTGCCCCAGGATTACTGTGACCCTCTCCCCAGCCCCCAATATTAGCCTCAGTCAAGCCCCACCCACCTGCCCTTGGCCCCAGTCCAGTTCCGGGAGCCACCCTCAGCTAAAATTAGCATAGCCACCAAGATGGCTAAGCCATTTATAGCCTTGGAGGCAACAGCAACTAGCTGGGTGGGCAGGCAAAGCTCTGGCCTCCTACTCCATCAGGGGTTTATTGAGAAGCCAGCCTGCACCCACCAACAGCCTAGAGGCCTATCCTCCAAGGCCTGTTCTAGCTATATTGAGTCAAACCACAGTTCCTGATTAGAGGACCTCACTACCTCCAACACTAGCAGTCACAGCTCCAGACTCACCCAGGACACCCTCACACACATTCTGGAGAAAACATTTTGAGTTTCCACAAGCAATGAGCCCAGAGTCTAAGGGAGGTTCCACATATGAGTTCTAGGACAGCTTTGGAAATGCAGGCCTCAGAGTAGCACCACCAGGCACAGATCTTTACTGAGAAAGTGACTTAGCATAGCTAGGTGTACAGGCATCGAAGAGCCAGGAGGTGATAGGAATGGCCTCTCCACTGCCCAATGAGAAGGCCTCCAACCAGAGCACCTACTTTCACTGCAGAGTCAGGCCTCTATGATGGCCATATATATCCAACAACAGAAAAAGACCCAATTCTCTCACCCCCTGCAAAAGAAAAAAGACAAGCCTCTTCTCAACTCTCTGCTGCAGAGTCATCAGGGCCTGAATTAGAGTTACTAATTCACCACAATAAAAGTAACATTCTCTTGGTCTTGCCCACTGCTCCTTTAATAGGGCAGAGTGTGAGAAGATGGATGTGATCTAGGACTTAAGCATCAGAAGACCTGCCTATAAGACTTAGCACAGGACTCAGTTTGTTAACCTATAAAAATAGGGATAATACCATATGCCCAACATTCTAATAGGGCTATTGTGAGACTTGTAAGGGAAAGAAACGTCGTGTGACTTTAAATAAAACCTTTAGAGAACATACAAATTGACTGGGTATGTTGACTCTGATTTACAAAAGTGGCACTTTTAAGAGCAAGTGAAACTAATGTGTCCTGAAGATACAGAGGGACTAGAAAGACTACAAAGTTCCTGGCTACATAGAAAGCATCTCCCCAAATCCTATAGCAGAACCCATTCCACAAGCCACCTCTTTGCAAAAATGAGTTCCTTTATGAGTCAGTGATAAGTTTCTAGAAAGGCCCAAGAGGATGACACAATAGTGCCGGGCGGCCTCCAGGTTCCCACATTCCGGCACCTAGGGTCTCTAAGACTTCCTCCCTGGGATTCAGTATCAGTGACAACAGAAACTACTTTCTAAGGTGAAAGGAAGAAAAGACCAAAAAGAGAGGCCTAAGTGGTATAATCAGCACATCCAGGCCTCTGAAATATGTTATGTGAAGAGCTGTCTCCATAAGCTCAAGTCGGGGGGTGGTTCTGCAGGATGCTGGAACGCCTCTTACCTATCACCCCTACACACACTCACACATAAACACATTATTTCTGATAGCTAGCTAATGCCTAAAATTAAAAATTCATCGCTTTAGCTCGTGTCTAAACTATACAATACCTCTCCCATAAAAAAAAATTCATTTTATGTGAGGCACTTATATTTTAGGGTTAAAAAAGGACATATCAGTTATAAACAGGGATAAACAGGGTGTCACTGGAACAGCAGAGAAGTTCCTTAGAGCTGTTTCACAGTTTGACCTACATCTGCCTACCAGTCTTTCTCTTCACAGCCCAACAAGAACCAAGCTTTGAGTTATGTTTCAGGGGCCAAAGAGGCACAATATGGAGAAATAGGATTAATATGCAAGAGGGACCTATCTTCAGAGCAACTGACTAGGTGCCATGCTTGTACATAGAGCAACCCTGACTTCACCTGGAACCCAGCCTTTGGGGTACCTGGAATCACACACAAACTAGTCAAGGAAATTCAAAAGGGATTTCCTAAGAAAGGGTCTAAAGTAACAGAAGTGTCCAACCTTTTGGCATCTCTGGGCCACATTAGAAGAACAGTTTGTCTTGGGCCACACGTTAAATACACTGTGGCATGTAATCACACAAAAAATCTCATAATGTTTTAAGTAAATTTACGATTTTGTGTTGGGTCACATTTACAGCCATCCTGGGCCACATGAAGCACACGGGTTGCGGTTTGGACACCCCTGGTACCACCAAAGCCAGCTTCTGAATACATCCATGAAACTTCCCAGCCACCATGACCTGTTTCTTTTTCCTCCTCACATCAACCAGTATCCACTGAGCCATACCCTCATTTGAGCTTGCCCACCTCAGAAAGAACCCAGCTATAAACTCTCCCCACTCTGCAGCCCACTGCTTTGGGCAAAACACTATGACATAGTGAGAGAAATAGGAAAAGGAAACAGAATTCCTTCTGAGCCTCGTGAAAAACAACTGAATTTTAAAAGGGTGCTTTTCTTCTGCAACAAAACACTAAGGTTCTTACTATCTGACAAGGTTCCATGAGTATATAGGAAAAATCAGGACAGAACAAAAATATCATAGAATCCCTACCCTCATCAGTCATAAGAAACAGAATAAGTCAACAAGTGGTCCCAGAAGTTTTATCATGCCCATGCTGAGAAAAGACCATTTAACTCCCTGGTGGTAAATAGAATTCCATCTAAGGAATTGCCTTGTATGTGAAATGGGCACAGCTAAGAGACCACAGATTACCTAGGGGAAGGGAGGGACTAGGGTTCCCACACTTCTTGAAATATAGAGGCACACCTTTACACACCAATACAGTTGGCCCAGCCCTTACTTTTCCTGCCCAACCCAAGTAGCCTCAACCTCCCTATGGCGCCAAGTGCTGAAATTGGCCAACAGCATTAGACTTATCATCTGCCCAGGCCATTCTTCCTGACAAATAGTCCTAAGAAGGGGGTCTTGGCTTGCTGATCTGAAAGCCTAAGGTGCCCCAAAAGAAGACTTCTCCTCACTGCCAACAAAAGACATTCTGAGGAGGAATAAGGAAAGTTGTTGAAGAGAGACAGAGACATTAGCCATAGCTCCGGAATGGACAGAACTCCTTGGACTACTGGGAACAGGCAATGCCATGTGTGGGTCCTCCATCAAAGGCACACGTAGAAAACTAGGGTTCAGCTTGCCCTTTCGGACGCCTCGGTTCTGAGTCAAAGTCCCCGGCCCAGTGCGGCCAATAGCAAGGCCTTACCTGCTTCAGTGGACTCCTCATTATTGGCGCCCGAGCCGGCTCCTGTCGCCTTTTCGCTGTGGCTATGGCTGAGGCTCTTGCCATGATGCAGGAGGAGCCCCCAGAGGAGCCACAGGGCAAGACGCGCGCACACATCCATGACTCCAGGTCTCAGTCAGCATGCACCTGATGTGGACACCTCGGGATCCCAGAGGCAAAGCCCGGAGCCCGGGAGTGCAGCCGTCGGTCCTAGAACCCCCAGGCAAGATGCCCTCGAGGCGCCGCAGCTGTCCAGGCACTCGAGTGCCTGCCTCCTCCGACAGCTAAAGGTCAAATGTTCCAAGTTTGGGCTCGAGAGGAGGGCCGTCGCCTCCGGTCCAACAGTGGGTCCGCTGGAGTTGGGGCGGCCTCAGCGCCCAGTTTGCCCGGGCCGCTTCCGGAGAGTTTGGACAGGGAGGCTACGGGGCCGCTGTCAGTTCCGCAGCCGGCTACACCCCTGAGAAAGAGGGCGGGCGGGCAGGATCTCCCTCTAGCACGGGAGTGGAGCAGGGAGAAAAGAGAGGGGTAGAAGGGGGCACCTGGCCTCGCCCCGCCGTGGAAGGGCGAGCAGCACAGACTCCGGGAGGGGCGTGCGACTCGCAGGCCCCCGCGGGCGCGGACGGCTCCAGGATCCCAGGCCTCCTAGGCCGAGGTCAGCGCCCCCGCCCAGTCCCGTGCCCAGGCGGCCGGCTGTGCCCAGGTTCAGCAGGCGGACGCGCACGGGCCAGGCCCGGGACAGCGGCTCCCCCGCGGGCGGGCGGGCGGCGTGGGGCGGGCCCGGGGCTGGCGGGGGCGTGCTCTCCCACAGGCCCGCCCCACGCCGCCCGGCCCCCTGCGAAGTCCGGGCCCGCCCCAGCGCCGGGTTTATCTGGGAATAACCTGTTGGAGGCAGCAGCCGGGTTCCCCCAGCCCCCGGTGGGCTCTTCAGGGCCCCGACTCGCGTCAGTCTCCGCCAAGACCCTTCTCCCGCACCAAGGGTCGGGTCCCGGCCTCCCTTTCCCCCACGGGAGTCACTCCAGCGCTAACCGCCCCCAAACAGGCGGATGGGCCCCTGACACGCAGTTGCTCAGGTATCCCAGGCCTGCGGCAGCAGCGGCGAAGACGGCAGTAGCTGCCCTGCCCGGATCTCCAGGCCTCAATGCTACTCCACTCTCCTCAGTTCTAGACCCGGGCTGGACAGAGCCCCGCGGCACAAAGATAGCCGCCCCGAGCTCCTTCAGGCGACAACGGCCCTGCCGGGTTCGGCCCGGGGTGCGCTCCCAGCCCCCACTCGGAGCCGGCTTTCTAGGCTCCGCCCCCCGCCGCGCCTTGCAGCCACTCCTGTTTCGCCTCTCTGCGGTTTGGGAACCCGCGCGCTTCGTCACCCTTGTGCAGCGGCCCCTGGCGGGCCAATGTGGGTGCTGCCGTCAGCACGAGAGCTCCTAGAAGGCCCTGCCCCTTTGCAGACGGTTGGGGCGTGAAGCGAGGACCCGCCCCAGGGGAGGCCCATTAGGGACTGCCAGTGTTTTCAGAGGAAATAATGCCAGAAAACGAAACGTCCAAACCACTAAAGGTAAAATTGTTCTACACGTCCCTTAAGCGTCGGCTAGAGGGCCCAATCTGCCTTCCAGGCCCCCCTCCCGACCCATCCAAGCTAAGTAGGATGCCCTCCCTTCACTCTCACCGCCTGTTTTCCTACCTGCCTCTCAAATCCCCTCCCCTTTGAGGTTTTCACAGGTAGGGCCTGTGGCTGGTTCTTCCCCGCATCTCACACTCCCAGCTTTCTGTGTCACTTGGAGGAGCTGTTAGCGACCTGAGAATGAGTGCCCTAGTGAAGGGAGAGCCACGCCTGGGCCTCCTTCAAGAGAGCCTGCACTTCCTGTTCTCTTCTCAAGTATGCTGTCAGCAAATCTTTACTGAAACCTGCTCTGTGCCCTACCCTGTCCTTGGCACCAGCGGCAGGGGAAGGGATTAGGCCCAGTCCCTCCTCTGACTGACAGTGTGCTAAGCTAGTTACCTGTTCTGAGCAAGCCCTCCAAACCGAGAACACGGATTTGCCCAACAGCTGCCTGGCTTAAGGGTTAGGCTGTTAATATAAAAATACACATCTAACGTCATCTACTACCACTCTCCCCACTCTTGTTAAGCTCCAGTCACACTGACCTTCTTTAAGTTCCTCAAACACATAGAACCTTAGTCATTTGTATCTGCTATTGCTTCTGCCTGAAACGCTACCCCCAACCCCCAGCTCCTCATATAGCTAGCTGGCCTGTCATACTTTTTTTTTTTTTTTAATTTATTTGAGGAGGGGGGAGAAAAAGAGAAACATCGATTTGTTGTTCCACTTATCTATGCATTCATTGGTTGATTCTTGCATGTGTGTGCCCTCACCCAGAACTGAACCACAACCTTTGTATCAGGAGGATGCTCTAACCAACTGAGCAACCTGGGCAGGTCCTCATTCTTCTAGGTAGAATTCAAGTTCTCCTCTTCAGAAACTCTAAACTCTGACCACCCTCCGCCCAATCCAGAATTGGACCATACACATGTCTGCCTCCCATAACCCCATAGGATTGTGAGTTTTCAGAAGTCAAGGGCTGTGCCTTATTCATCTCTGGGAAAAGGATCCATTCATAGGCCCTGCACATAAGTTGACATGAGTTAATTCATATGATCACTCAAGTATTTATTAGCTAACAAGTCTTTATTGGGGAACTGACCAACAGAAGGAATATTATTCAGCCATAAAAAAGAAGGAGGCCTGTCCTGGCTGGTGTGGCTCAGTGGATTGAGCACCAGCCTATGAATTGAAAGGTCACAGGTTTGACTCCTGGTGAGGGCATATGCCTGAGTTGTGGGCCAGATCCCCAGTTGAGGGCATGGGAGAGGCAATGGATCGATGTTTGTCTCAGTCTTTCTCCCTCCTTTCCCCTCTGTCTAAAAATAAATAAATAAATTTTTTTAAAAAATAAATGGAGGCCTTGGCTGGTGTGCCTTAGTTGGTTGGAGTGTCATCTCATAAACCAAAAGATCGCCTGTTTGATTCCCCATCAGGGCACATGCCTAGGTTTTGGGTTCTGTCCCCAGTTGGGATGAGAGGCAACCACGATCTATGTTTTTCTCTCACATCGATGTTTGTCTGTCTCTCTCTCCCTCCCTTCCCTTCTCTCTAAAATCAATGAGGATGTCCTTTTATGAGGGGGAAAAAAAAAGAAGGAAATTCTACATGCTACTGTATGGATGAATCTTGAGGACACTATGCTACATAAAGTAAGCCAGTCACAAAAGACCAATACTATATGATTCTACTTATACGAGGTACCAAGAGTAGTAAAATTCACAAAGACAGAAAATAGAGTGGTTGCCAGCAGCTGAGGGGGGTAGGAGAACACAGGGCATTGTTTAATGGATTTAGTTTCAGTTTTGCAAGATGAAAAGAGTTCTGGAGATAAGTTGCAAAACAATGTGAATGCACCTAATATGACTGAATTATACACTTAAAATGGTTAAGATGGTAAATTTTAAAGTTATATGTATATTACCACAATTAAAAATAAAAATAAATAGTGTCTGGGGGCCAAAGCCATGGTCCGGACAGCAAAAGAAACATTCTATTCTTCTCTCTGCCTCCAAAATCATGATGTGGCAACAGAAAAGCCAGTTCCCCTCTGGATCTCAACTATAAGATGAGTAGGTACCCAATTATTGATCTAATTCAGCTTTAGTATTCTATAAGATGGGACCATCCTGAGACATTCTGGATCTTCCTGGGTCAGAAGCTGTAACTCTCACCTTAATAGCCACTATGATGGATCCTCATGCGAGTATGGCCTCTGTGAGAAGAGAGTTTTTTATTTTTCATCTCTCTGTCTTTTTAAAACCTATACACCAAGGCTTTACCATGTGCCAGGTGTATCTCCCTTAAATCACTTTAGAGCTTTGCTCCTAATAGATATTCTGCAGATGTTAGTTAAATCAAATTGGATAAGCAGTTCTCATGCCACTATTTCATAATTTTCAAGAGCTTTCATATCTATTATTTCATCTTCTCCCTCACACGAACTCTGCTAGATAAGACAAAGGCTATGCTCATTTTACATATGAGTAAACTGAGGCTGAGGAAATGAAGTGGCAACCACATCAAGCTCTCTTTCTGTTTTGGGATTTCCTCTTCATCCATGAAGTCTCAGCTCAAGTGAAATAAGTGTCCATGCCTTGATCAATGATGACAGCCTAGCATGAGCCAAAAGTTATGATTAGTTTTAAAAAGACCAAGCCCAAAGCTCACTGCTACTTCCTTTGGCACTTTCCCTGACTTTCTCTGTCTCTGCTACACCTTAGAATACTTATATAACTGGATTTTGATTATCTAATAAGTATCTGTTTTCCCCCATTAGACCCTGAGCTCATCAAGGACTGCATTTTATTTATCCTTATAGTCTCCCAGGCTAGGACTTCACTTGGTACACACCTGGTCCTTAATAAAAGTGAATGAATGAATGATATGTGACCTGTACAGCAGCCTAGTTGTCCTTCCTTACGCCACAGGGCTTCTGGATACCAATAGCTTTCATTTGGAAAGTGAGAGAATCTTCAGCAAAAGTGAATCTGAATTTCTGAATCTTCAGAAATCTCTGGCTCAGAAAATTTTAGGAATTCCTGAATCTAGACTGTGTTATCAGTGGAGCTCCCTGGTGTCCAAACGTGGCAAGTACAGCTATCACTGAGGAAACTACCAGAGCGAAGCTGAATGGAGAATGAAGAAAGAGATCCTGGCTTCTAACAGATCTTTCCAGGCTAGTTTCACAAAGACAATCAGTTCTACAATTTTACTGCCAATGTTTACTCACTCATTTAACAGCTACTGAACACCTGTTTGTAACAACCCAGTTCCTACTCTCAAAAATCTCAGTTTTTAGGACATTATCTATCTATCTATCTACATATATATGCAAATACGCTAATATATTAGGTCTGTCCGGAGAAATTTCAGCCATTGTTAATATAATGATAATGGTTTGCGTGACATTGATGCAAACCTGGCAGCCAAGGACAGCGGACTGGAATGTTCATGCATGAACACTCGCGACTTAGCTGTACTGGTCAGTGGGGGATGTAGATGCTGTTGAGTGGGCACATATACTGTGTGGCCTTGCATCACAATGACTGAGCGAGTAGAGCAACGAATCTTCATCACATTTTGTGTAAAGCTTGAACATTCCTCTGCTGAAATTATCCGGATGACTCAGAAGCCTGCAGCTATGGGCAACTGGTGATTGGCAGCTTCATCAGGACAACATGCCCACTCATGCATCACATCTCGTGCAGAGTATTGTGGTGAAATATCAAATCACCCAGGTAACTCAGACCCTCTACAGACCAGATTTGGCCCCTGGGACTTCTGGCTTTTCCACAAACTACAGTTACCTTTGAAAGGGAAGAGACCATCGATGAGATTCAGAAAAAAATATGACAGGGCAGCTGGTGGTCATTGGAAGAACTGTGTGAGGTCCCAAGATGCCTACTTTGAGGGGGACTGAGGTGTCATTGTCCTATGTACAATGTTTCTTGCATCTTGTATCTTCTTCAATGTGTTTATTTTCCATAGTACATGGCTGGATACCTTCTGGACTGATATACACACACGTACATACATACATATATAAAGAGAGAGAGAGTGCACGCAACTAGTACTTGCTGATAATGTCTTGAAAGGAATTGGTACAGGGGCAGGTGAGGGAGCACAGAAGAGGGACAACTGGCTGA